TGGTAATATGTACAACGAAAATTTGAACCAATTCGCATCAGTATTTCTCATGTTATAGATGAAATAATTTTCTCAATTTCTGACAACAGATTCTATGATGTCATACTTTACCCATAATCCTTTGCTTGAGAATCAAGATGGCTGACTACTTATTAACGATGAAAAGTTGAATATCTAGAGAATGAAAACTGTTATAAAAAAAGTGTAAATTGCATTCTCCTACATTTGTGGAGCTTTTTCTTTAGGAGTCATTATGTTGTTTGGATTGAGGTTCCCTTTAAATTTCTCTGTAATTGGCTAACAGTTGGAAAGTGAATAAAGCTCATCACGAGGCACAGAGTCTTAACGCGGTCTTGGGAGAGTTCCGATGTGGCGCTGGGATGAGAGGTTGAAACGATTCGATTCTCTGTGTGTCTTTGTTTTATAGAAAGTTGGAGAATTCCCCGAACTTGGTACCTGACGTGAAGGTTTAATAACACTCAAATTAATCTTTCACAACAGTACCATAAATTCACAACTTTCAAAATACGTTTGCTTTCATCAATGTCCACTGTACACCAGTAAATGTCTTTCCGTTCAAGTGACGGTATAACAAAATAACTCATCATTGGTAAATTCAATGCATCGAAAAAGTATAAAAAACATTTTCATAAACAATTTTATATAAATACACTTCGAAAAGAAACAAGATTCATAAACATAAATCTATTTGAATACATTCTCACTACAAATTACACAATACTTATTTTCTAACGGAGCTTCTTCACGGCACAAACTATTGAAATCATGCACACATGTGAGTACTTCGGTGACACATTTTATAGCTACGCCCAAAATAGTCCATTTATTGCGCAACTGTGATCAAACGACATCATTCTGTAAACATCCACACATTTTCATAAAATCTCCATGTACTTTTTGACCTTTCATAAGTAAAATACACTACAATTTACTCCAGAAAAACAATTTTCTTGTTACATTCCTACGTTCTTGCATACTAATGAGGGGTTCAGACACATTCCAAGCTGAACAATTTTCTTGGACTAATAACAAAGCTGGTCAATCTTTTCCAAGCAATAACATATCAAATTTAGAAAATGATCACACTGATTTGTCTTGGTGCCAACGATTATTCCCTGTACTGATATCATTCCAATTTGCTAAGACAATTTTATAGATTTGGCTTTGAAAAGGAGTGCCATCTAAGCCTTACTAAACAGGAGAATTAAGTTAAAGAACTCACATCATCTGGAGTCTGCTGGCCAAGCCTGATAGCTACATTTCTCAACATGCACTCAGCAGTTGGATCAGGAATACTTTGAAGGGCTTGTTGTAACATGATAGCATGGTTGTGAGTAGTAACTGATACAGGTGTCGTTGGATGGTTGGAATCACTCTGACAAGCTTCAGCTACAGCTGCAACTATAGCATAACCCACTGTTGTAAACATTAATTTACCTATCTTCAGTACAGTATGATATGCTGACCTGTAGAATACAATGAAAGACCTCAGTTGAAGTAGTGAACTACAAACAAATTTAAACAATTCAAATTCTTAGATCATGGAGATGATATGATAGTAATATTTGATTCACTTATGACAAGCACTGGTAACAAGTGATGACAATTAGTACTGTATATTAGTGAATAACATATTTATTTTAACACAGTTCACTTTTTATTAGTACACAAGTTAACCTTTTCTCCACCAGTTGCCTTTTTTCATCACAAATTAACAAAATTGTCTTGTTTATAGTCTGCACTATGACTCAAATTTTGTCTGCTGGCTCCAAAATTAGGGTTCATTTCCAAAAATATTGAGACAGAAGAATACAAGAAAAAGGTATCGAAAAAAAAATGGGCAGGAAAGTCTGGTAGTGGAAAGGTTAAAGAAACTTCAGATAGGCATAACAAACACGGTGCTAATTTACTTTGAATTAACCCTGCGTCCCCAAGTTGTATTTTAAAAATGAACATAATTGCACAACAATATCATTTTAAAATGTGCTAGTAAACATTTATATTCACCTCCTGTTTTCAGAGTTAGCATTTGGCAAGAAATTATTTTTTGTCAGCATATTCAACACACAACATACTCCTCCACTCTTTACAAAATTGTACTGAAAATAAAACAGAATAATACTGCATTAAATTATCAACTAAAAACACAGATATCGAGTACAAGAAATTTCATTACACAATTCCCATGAGTTTGAGAAGTCACTGTTTGACAAAATTCTCCGACATACATCTTTACTGGCGTAATGTCAAATGGAACTGATTCAAGGCATGGTTCAATTATTGAAAAACAATGGCTTAGATGTCTGAAATAACTGCAGTGACCATTTACATTATTAAGAATGACAAGAAATGTTTGACAATCAGGATTTGAATATCTGTCACCATTTCTACTCTAAAAAAGTTAAACGACATAAAATCAAATCTTGAAGACATAATTATAAAAACAATAAAGATCAAAATTTACCTGGAATTCCAAAGCATCTTCACCAATGGGTTGGTTTGCAGGCATCAGAAGTGAATACACAACCTTCAATTGAAAATATGGACAATGTTTCAAAACCAAAACAGATATAAACTCAAAGCGCTCCTATGTGTTAAATAATTGCTTATTACGCAATTACTTGGTCCAGGTATATTTGTTTTCATTATTCTTTTCTAGTAGAGATGCTATAGAGCTCTCACATAAAGTTAATTAAATATATTCTTTGATTTTTACTATCTATTATCAGAGAACAGAACCCAAACAGTCAAAGTGTTCTATTGAGAATTATTAGAAGAATATGCACCAGACAAAAAGTAATTAAAGTGAAGCTTACCTCTAAATGGTACAGTACTTCAGATGGAGATGAACAAAAGAAAAGAGATTCTAATGAAGGTGAAAGACTTTGTTCTCCTAGTTTTGCATGGTCCAAACAAAGAGCTTTTATTTTATCAACACACTGGGAATCTGCAAGATGAAAAAAAGAAATAACGAAAGTGAATTTGTATAAAAACCACAAGTTACATTTGTTCTAAACTGTTCTATATATCAAAATGAATACATACACGTAACAACAAAGTAAACTAATACTAGCAGCCTCTCGGCTGATATAGCTCCACTGTTTGTGATGCATGCTCTGAAAGCAATGACTAAGAAGCAATTTAAACTTAATGCTAGCTGCTTTAATATCGCAAGACACCAACTTTCTTGATTTTGTTGCAGAGAATATTTCCCTAAAAGTAGAGAATTGAAGATATCTTTACGAAATGTACAAATCTACCCAAGCTGCATGTGTACAAGTATCAAAGAATTTGGACTACTGGTTTTGAAGGACAAGTCAAAAATATGTTTTTGGATGAAAAATGACGAAAATATTTGCTAAGAAGCGGCCTATCGGCCGAGATAGCTCCGCTGTTAGCAATGCACATTTTTCAATTAAAGAACTGAAGGCATCATTAGAAAATGAACAATATGTATAGTATCAAGGCAATCGGACTTACAGTTTTTAACAAGAAGTCGAAAATATCACTTTCTACCAAAAATGACAAAAATATTCACCAAAATTAGAGAATGGAAAATATCATCATGAAATGAACAAATCTGAGAGAGGTCCACATGTAGAATTGAAGATATCATCACAAAATGAACAAATCTGAGAGAGGTCCACATGTAGTACCTATATATGTAATATCAAAGCAATTGCACTTGCGGTTTTTAACAAGAAGTCGAAAATATCACTTTTTACCAAAAATGACAAAAATATTCACCAAAATTAGAGAATTGAAGATATCAACATGAAATGAACAAACCTAAGAGAGGTCTACCCAAGGTACATATACACCAAGTATCAAAGCATTCAGGCTTGTAGTTTTCAAGAAGAAGTCGAAAAAGTAAAACATTGACACGGACGACGACGGACAATCACTCATATGATAAGCTCCGCTCGACAAAGTCGACAGCGGAGCTAAAAATGACAAAAATATTCACCAAAATTAGAGAATTGAAGATATCAACATGAAATAAACACACCTAAGAGAGGTCTGCCCAAGGTACATATACACCAAGTATCAAAGCATTCAGGCTTGTAGTTTTCAAGAAGAAGTCGAAAAAGTAAAACATTGACACGAACGACGACGGACAATCACTCATATGATAAGCTCCGCTCGATAAAGTCGACAGCGGAGCTAAAAATAGAGAATTGAAGATGTTGAAGGAAGTGAACAAATCTGATATAGGTCCGACCAGGGTACATATACACCAAGAATCATGGCATTCAGGTTAACAATTTTGACATTTGTATCTGATCGTCAAACAAGTACTTGTCCATATTGAGAGATATTGCTCTGGAACAGCATTCAAAATCAGCTATTTTGAATACATGTATATATCTATAACATGATGTATAACGAATCTATAAAATTATGATGATTTTCCAGTACAAAAATGACAGCCATTCAACCATCGAGTCAGATCATGAAACAAATTGATGTGCATATGTATAATATTATGTATGATGTATGTGTGAAGTTTGATTGATTGGTCCAGGCATTTCTAAGATATAGGTTCGGACGGACGGACGGACGAACGCACGCACTGACGGAAGCACGGACGCACAAGGGTCAAAACATAAGACTAAAAAACAAGACAAATCACCTTATATATTTTCTACAATGTAAAATATTATTATTATATGTGCATTTCGTGAGAACAAACAAAATATTGATATCAAAGACTGCAATATTCATTTCTCTGCATTTCAAAAAATCGTGATATGTAAACATGTTTCAATTGAATGAGAAATATTTAGTAAAAAACTTGATGGTTATACGTTCGTAATATATAAAACAATCCAGCAAATAAATTGAATATGCAGATGATACGCAGATTACTATTTAGTTTTATGCAAATAAATTGTGGCCAACACTAAATACATGTATGTATCCAGGCAATAGACCAGGTATATTACCTGAATGGCAGAAATGCTTGATTTTCATGCATATTTAAAATTATGTCAATTGCAACAAGGGTCGCAACATCAGATATTAGTTGTGTGATAAACCAACCTGCTGGCATCAATTTAAGCAGACTTTGTGCTCCATCTCTCAACTGAGCTACGTCTAACTGAGCTCCAAGATCTGCCAACTGCCATAGAAACTGTGCATACCGTGGTGCATTGGTTGCCATTAACTACAAGGACAAAATATACATTTTTTCAAAAGTGTTATAGGGAGGACGTAAAATTTAATTCACTTTCACGGATTGGTTGTAAGAATAAGATAACACTTACCACTCCAGGTAGACAACACTCAGCATCAATATTTGGACCATCATAAGGATTATGTGGTGAACCAGCTGATGAATCTGATGAACTATCAGAGATGATGGCATATTAGTACCAATCTGACATACCTTAGCAGTTATTAACTGGTGAAAAACAAAAAATAAGCATTGTGATTCAAGATAGACCAATGAAACAGT